GTTGTCGTTGTCGTTGTCGTTGTCGTTGTCGTTGTCGTTGTCGTTGTCGTTGTCGTTGTCGTTGTCGTTGTCGTTGTCGTTGTCGCTGTTGTTGTTGTTGTCGTTGTCGTTGTCGTTGTCGTTGTTGTTGTTGCTGCTGCGTTGTTGCTGTTGTTGCTGTTGTTGTTGTTGTTGTTGTTGTTGTTGTTGTTGACGTTAGCTGTTTTTGGTGGGGGTTAGGGTGGTTGTGGTTGTGTCTGCAGTGGTGGCCTTTTCGTTGTGATCCATTTTCCATTGTCGCTGTCGTTGTCGTCGTCGTGGTCGTTGTTGGCTCCGTTGTCGATGTCATTGTGGTGGTCGGGTCGTCGTCGTGGTCGTCGTCGTCGTCGTGCAGAGACAAAGGCCTGATTTCAATGAGGCCGTTATCTCCACCTGCTGCTAGAGACAAAACTGGAGCCCCGTCTCTGGTTTTGAATCCCCCTTTTTCGCAACAACCGCCAACATTGCACTACAAGTACCACCCCAGGTAAGATTTTCATGGGTTTGTGAAAGGCTTTCAATGGTATTTAGACGGATCTTAACGGGTCAAGAACCTTCCAAATATTATTAAATATTATTAAACCCCTATAACAAGCTTCATGTTGCCGTCACAAGGGCCTGCGGGAATTTACAAAGGGATCGAGCGTTGTCGTTACTGTTGTTGTTGTCGTTGTCGTTGGCGTCCTTGTAAATCCCTGAGCCACCATTTACTTAAGTCCTAGTACCTGGACCGTAGACCCTTATATATGTCCTTGACAGCCCAGGGCTGCCGATCGAATCCTTGCAACTGTCCGCAAGGCTGCGGCAGTCATGTCGTTTGGAGGCCAGATGCCACTTGCATATGAGTCGGATTATCAGTGGGCGTCTGTCTAGTTCCCATACTCAAAACGCGTGTTCCCACGTAGCGCTGCGATATACGGCCAACCGAGCCGTCGTAAACAACATTCTTGCGAAGAACGAGGACGATGAAAGTTGACTCATTGTTGCATGATTACCGCTCATCGCCAAAGACACGTCACAGATTTCGACATGATGCCACTCCAAAGATGATGCCGTCAGATTCATTGACCTCACATTTTGGTGCGGGTGCATGTGTATGCTTGGGGTGCACATGCATGAAGACGAGCCATTTTGTGAAATCATTGTGCAGGTTTCCCATCGTGTTCGGGTTGTCTTCCGATGTTGGAGCCGAAACTGATCTGCATCGTAATCTCAAAGTTCGAGTCGCAGTATTCGGATACATGCGTGTTTAATCATTCTTTCTCAGGCATGCCGCAGTATGTCAGCATCTAGCTTGTTCGCTATTTAACCAGTGTGAAGATCCTAATTGGTTTGCTTGCCGGACCTGCCGAGTATCCAACAGTGGCGCTTACGAAAGTTGGAGTGAGTTTAGCCCCGCGCACATGCCTGCACACATGCTTGCCACGCAGTGTTAAGGACAACTGCAGGCAGCGGCTTTCGCAAGAGCAGTAGAGAATATGTGTTTGAAGTGTATGGGCGCATCATGCTCGAAATATTGATCACGGCTATAGCAGCAGAGGTGGTGGCGAAAGCAACAGCACAGTTGAGATGGCTTGATGTCCCACCAGCGCCTGCCCCCACACACAGTGCCGAAGCCCCAACCTCCATGACAAGGCAGGGCGAAAGCAGCACATTCCGAAACATGAAGGGTGCGACAGGCGGGCCAGCTTTCCTTTTGGCTTTCAGAGTTCGATTTCAGAGTTTGGTCTACGTTTATTGAGGCAACCGAAGAGGACAAAAATCAACCCTGCACCTCGTCGACTTCGTGGGAAGGTTGGATGTTCCACGGCTTTGAAAGTTAAGGCCGCAGGAAGCTCTATCCTGCAAAAGAAAGCCTAAACATGTCTCAACCCGGTATGATACATGAAGGCTTTTGCATTGGGCAGGCTGCACGAGTCAGGCGGCGGATGCGCTGCTCACCGTGCCGGAGTCTTTTTTCCGCGACATACGTTCCTCAACGGCATAATGTTGACCGGCTGACAGGGGGTTGAAGGGTGCTCAATTATGGAAGAAGAAGGCGAGGAGTTGGTTGCTGTTCGCCGACTCTGTTGGAATTGGCACCACAGGTTCGAACGCCTAGCCCGCTGATAAGCTAACGATGAGTGGAAAACAGTCCATTAAGACGCGCTAATGCCCACGAGGTTCATATCTCAGGCTATGAGCGGGGCCTGATGCCAAGATCCCAGAAGCCAAAACTGTCACATATAGATTCCCAGCACTAAATCCAACATCTTTTCGCTCGTCGCTTGAGAGCCAGATCCTGAGCGCATGAGGTTGAGACTGATTTCCCTCCATAGGATTTGCAGGACACTGTTGTGCAAGGAGGAAATTGAGTTGGTTACAGTGTTGGTGATGGCTGTGACGAAGCAAAGGAGGACATGCATGCTGCTGATGACGACGATGGTGATGGATGGTAATAATGGTGCTGAGGGTGATGAGGGAGAAGATGAGTTCGTGATGGTGTCGATTACCTTGTTGCCTTGTGTTGATGACGAGAATGATAGCATGATGGATTTATTCATAGGGACCCTGAAGTCTTAATACCTGTAATAAGGACCTAATAAGGCCTATTTTTGGAATTATAGTCCCCTACCCCCCCTCCCACTAAGGGTCCCTATGATTTATGGTCAAGCAGCCGACCCGAGCGACGAAGGTCATGTGAGGGTGATTCCAATGTTCCTTACTTGATGCTGGAAACTAGGAGAAAGAAAACATGGTGGCGACTTGATGAGTGTCATTATTAGCTTGATTTTCTTCATCGTCAGCAGCTATAACCTTTTTGCAATGTCGATGGCCAGGTTATTCGGATTTCCGGTTGCGCAGCATCGAACCGAATCACGGACTCATGCAGTTGCATGAGCTCTGTACACCAATATTGCTGTGAACTGCAACAATGATGTCTCAGAATCCCTCACTGAAGTACATAGTCCAAGCCCATGATTTCTGTGTCCGTTTCTGTCGTTGTCTTTAGATTTGCGTTTGCCGCAAAGCTGTGTTGCTTTGGCTGGCCCGTGCCAGCACCGCCAGGCTATTTGTCGACCTGGTGTCCGACAGGCTTTGGGCTGAAAGCTCTTGCTTGGCATTGACAGTGCCGTGCTGGCTTCAAAACTGGGCGTCGGAGGGGATTCGAGTAGACACTCCCTTTTTGCTTTGAGTCGGAATTCGGTACGTCTGTCCGTGCGTGGTCACGCCAGTGGTACGAGTTGCCGAATCTTGCGAATGTATACCTGATAAGCAGAGGCGCTCGAACTCTGCTGGCCTCCATGATGTTGGCGGGATTCAATTTTTATCGCCCCTCGGGAGCAGAAAAATCCCAGCTGGGGCTCTAAGGGTAAAGCATGTTTCATGTACACGGGAACCGTCCGGAAGTAAGCTTATCTGGAACTGCGTCAGGTTTACCGGCAGCTCTAAATTGTTGAGAAAGGCATGTTAGCTGAAAGCACGTCCTTGGAGAAACATCGGAGCAACTGGCAGTCCATGAAGCCGCAGATACAAGAGAGTGCGAGACTTTCCGAGCTCACAGCTCATATTCTCTGGACGGTAGTGGTTTAAAGCTTTGGCATACCGGGGTGTTTGGGGTATGTACTGCAGGGCATAGTGAGGATTTGCTTGTACACCTGTTGTACGCTGATCAGAGTGCCACCCCAAACAAACAACAGGATACAAAGTAAACAGTTTTGCTCGGTCGCCCTCCCAATAGACACAAGGTAGTGGGTAACAGTACCAGCAATAGCAGTATCTAATCGTCCTAGTCCTCGATGCTTCCAGCGACAATGACTGGCCGGACAAAGCTGTACATTAACGGGTAGCCCAATAAGGTCTGAGAAACTTTGTATGGTTGGGAGCCCCCCAGACAAATCGCTGGGAAGCATCAAGCTCCATGAACAAGGTCTAGTGTCTAAATTGACCGGACGACTTGTGTCTGGGCTTCCGCCATTCAGCTCGCCGCTTCCATTTCCCCCATCTGAGGTGCGAAAGTGGACACAGGACCGGGTCTGCAAAGGTCACTCTGCGTCACTTTTTACCTGGAGACCCCGAGACTTGAATCGCGCAGGAACAAGGAGTTCCTCCTTGCTCATGTAAGCTTTTAGATGTTTTGCTGCTGATCAATGCAGGTGTTTTGGGGAATGTGTTGCAGACTCAGAAGGTAACGTTTCCTTTCGGCCATGGATTTGAACCGGTGTGCAGGGTCAGTGATTAGGATGCGCTTTTCCGAGACTGGTGCTTAAGTCCTAGAAAGTACTTGTTAAGAATGAACTCGCTGGGAAACTGTGAGGACCCGTTCGGCAATGTATTCACTCTGCTGAGCATGCCCTTGGTCGGCAAGAATGTTCACGAATCCACGAATCCACAACCATCCTAGTCCGTTCAGGCCCAACTGGAAAGAAACCTTGTAACACTGCACGTAAGCATGCATCCTTACATGTAAATTCCGACCCCAAGCATCGTTTGAGATTGGACCTTGCTTTTCACCTGTGTGTGGTTTGGTTTGGAGCCTGGTCCCGGAGACAATGCAGCCGACAACAGTACTCGACTGCTTCTGCCATGTTGGCTTCTTGCTTTGATGCAAAATCGGGGGATTGGCACAAAGAACTGAACAGAATCCAACAGCCTCCCATGAATGCCTGAGCTCCAGAGCTCCTTGAGCCGCGCGATCTGTGACCTACTGCCCGAGGTCAGTGTCGGATGGCTGCATGTACATACTTTCTGCTCACGCCTTAGAACACGCAGTGTTTGGCTCCAGTGCCAATGTGAGGCTTGGGGCTTCGGTTGAATCGACCTGACCCATGGCAAGTCATATCTTGTCAAGCTATATTGGGTCTAGGGGGGATGAGAGGGAGGGTTTGGGAGATTTTGACTCGGGCTTGCGAGGCTTATGGGGCTTACAACGGCTTGCAACGTCTCAGGGGCTGGCAGGATATAATGCTGCAGCTTTCGCTCTTGTTGCTGCTGATGCTGACGCTAACGCTGACAGTGCTGCTAATGCTGCTGCTGCTGCTGCTGCTGCTGCTGCTGCTGCTGCTGCTGCTGCTGCTGCTGGCGGCGGCGGCGGCGGCGGCGGCGATGGTGGTAGACGTGGAGGGGATTGGCCGTGGCTGTGGCCGTGGCCGTGGCGTGGCAGTCGTCGGAGTCACTGCGGGCTTGTTTGTGGATCAGCCCGTGGTCGTGGTCGTGGTGAGGTTTTTCTTGTTTGTGGCTGGTGTTGCACGTACTTGTTGCATGTCGGTGAGCCGCCTTGAGCGTTCGCGAGGCCACGACGGCCGGATGGATGATCTGCCTGGTGCAGCTCCTTTGGCTGCGACCTCGGCAGATCAAGTCACTATATGGGCCTTCCTCCACCCTCAGCCTCCAAAGGCAGTAACCTCCCTTTCTTCATGGCTCTTGAGTTTGCAAAGTCCGGCACGTCGATGGGCACAGAAGCTGGAAAGAACTTTGTCTGACATCAACCGCTGGACCCGTAAATCCTGTCTTGAAAGCCGGATCAGGGCTGGTGCAGTTTGATGTCTGCACCCGAAGATGCTGACGCACTGGCAGCTTCTGTGTGAAGCTCAGCTGTAGCCGAAACATTCAGTCAGACTACTTGTGCGTAGTTTACCCTTCCGGGGTCCGGAAGCTAAAAGCGACATTCTCCAGTGAAGGCCGCAAGACGCAATTGTAGATTTTCGAAAGAATACTTCAGGATCAGGATTCAGGTCTCGTGCCCCAGATGCAGTTTCATGCGCCATGCAGACAGACACACCCTGGATGCAGGATCTCTAAGAGACTGCGGCCCTCGCGTGTGAAAAGTGGCTCTGTGGGCTCCTGGCTTTGACAGGCGGCGGGCTGCCAGCCCGCAAGAGTGGCTCTGCGACTGCGGGCTGAAAGCCCCCAACAAGCAGATGACAGTAGTAGCGGTAGCAGTAGTCATCGCCGTTGTCATTTTGGTATTAGGATTATCATTATCATTATTGGGATTATTGATATTTTTGTGCGCATGATTGTTCGGAGTAGGAACAGCAGCAGCAGCAGCAGCAGCAGCAGCAGCAGCAGCAGCAGCAGCAGCAGGAGCAGGAGCGGGAGCGGGAGCGGGAGCGGGAGCAGGAAGCAGGAAGCCGGAAGCCGGAAGCCGGAAGCCGGAAGCGGGAGCAGGAGCAGGAGCAGGAGCAGGAGCAAGCAGCAGCAGCAAGCAGGAGTAGGACTAGGAGTAGGAGTAGGAGCAGGAGTAGGAGTAGGAGTAGGAGCAGGAGCAGGAGCAGGAGCAGGAGTAGGAGTCGAGGATCCTTACCCCCTTCCCTTTCCCCCAGCAGCAGTGGCGGTCCAGTGTAGTGTTAGTG